GTCTTCAGGAGTTCCCACAGAGGCCCAAGTCAGGTGAGGATCAGATGCTCTCAGGCTTTCTCCTAAGGTCTAGATTCCTCCAGGAAAGACGTTGTTCTCAGGAATCTGGGGGTTGGACTGGCCTGGGATCAGGGCCCAGGAAAGTTGCTGGTCTTGGGCAGCTGGTGGCCATGCCACCCAAAGATGCAAAGGGGGATGGAGGCAGGAAGAGGCCCCAAGGACTCCCGGGGACTACACTGAGACGCTGGGTTGGTCTGGATGAAAATGATCAGGAAAAGGAAAGGTCAGCCCCAGCGTCCAGGAAAGAGGCTGGAGGGTTGAGCAGCCTAGGGAAGCAGAGGGAGGTGAGAGTGGGGCCAGGCCCAGAGGGCTCCTAGAAGGAACTGGGTTGGTCTGGATGCAAAGGATCAGGAAACAGTGGTGGTTCCTGTGGGAGACAGGCTTGAGCCTAGGGTGAGAGTCTTATTGACAGCCAGCCATACAGCAGGTCTGAGGCAATGGCCCACCGCTGGAGCCACAAGGAACGCCTTGTGACATTTGCTCCCATTGGCAGATCATGAGACTGATGCCTAGAGCTTGCCACTCCCTAATCACCACCCTTGGAACCCAAATTGCAACACTTAGATATTGCAACAGTCAGGGTCACATGGTTTCCAGGAATCCAGACTCTGTAATCTGAAACCCAGTATGCTAATGAGGCATCCTACCCGCTATTCTGTGGCAGACTCCTCACCAGCCCTGGGGTCTGAACTGGACGACTGATCAGAGGAACTAAGAGAGCAGGAGAGCGGCCATAGCCAGAGGAGAGCAGCCACAGCCGGCGACCACAGTTTCCCCCGGTGTCTGGGGTGCCAAGACAAGGAATGGGACAGGTCCCAGGCTAGGAGGAGAGATGGGTGGGGGAGATGGGAGGGTGAATGAGGCTGGGGGAGTCAAGGCACAGAGGGCATGATCGACTTACCCCAGAGAGAGGCCTGCCAGTCAGAGAGAGCTTTCTTTTTTAAGAGTATGACATGGAAATGTGTTAGGCAGTCAATCCTTTACAAAGCAGTCTTGGCATCATCTTCAGCAAACCTATAACCTTAAGTCCTCTCCTTTTAATACCCCTTTTTACAGGATTTCCTCCAAATATCTACAATGAGATTTAGACATGGAAAAAAAGTCGCTGAAACAAGTTGTCTCCATCTTTAAAGTGAATTCTCTGGGGTCAGAGATGAAACCCTGGGTTAAATCTCTGACTTTAGAAATGCCTGTCTTTTCAAGTAAGTTTCTCACTAAAGTGTGTGCATTCACTTGGTGCTCAGCATTTGATTAGTGAAAGGTTTTCAGGGATTATGAAGAACTTTGCAGATTCTTTTGTTTTTTGGGGGGTTTTTTTGTTTTGTTTTTTTTTTCTGGGGCTATTTGTAGACTAGTGAAGAGATTACCGCCCCGATTCTTTTGTTTTTATGCAAGTTTAAAAATATTTTACCTTCATACTTTGGCTCAGTATGGAACTCTAAGTTCAGAATTCTGCCTCTTCAGAATGTCAAGATATTGTTCTACTGTGTTCTACCATTGGCTGTTGATAATGACACATGGTGACAATCTGGGTATCCTTGAAAGATATTCAGTTTTTCTCTTTCTTACCAGTTTTCTAAGTAACATCCCCCAGTGTGGGGATGTTGTAGATTCATGTTCATCTTAATATAAATATGTTTTTCTTTTTGTTTTTGAATTTTTCTAGTATTTCTTTGATATGTTCCTCTCCTCCAACTTGGTTTCTATTTTTGTTAGGTTTTTTTTTTTCACTCTTTGTTTCCTAAAATAAATGAGTGTTGGGATCAGATCTTCCTGAATTGATCCTCTCTCTATTTTAATCTTTTCTTTCATATCTTCCTTCATTTCTAATTTAGATCCTGAGTAGTATCTTTTGCTCAAATTTAGCCTAAAATCACAAAACATTAAAGTTGGAAGTGGGTTGAAGATCACCTAGTTCAACTCCTTTATCTTGTAGATTGGGAATCTAAAACTCAGAAAGGAAGAAGGTTCTGGAATGTGAGATGACTTTCCCATAGACACTTCTATGTATAGAGAGCTATGGCCTCCAAACCCAAGATTTCTTATGTCTAGGAAGCATTAGACAATATAGTCCCTCACCTTTCTTGTAGATATCAGGGTGATAAGCCAGCAGTAAAAAGGGTCCCATGAGATTCTAGGCAAATGACAAGCCCAACTATGGACACTGCCAATGATCTTCAGAGGAAGACCCATTCATCCTAGTGAGACTGACAACAAGTCCTCGAGAGCAGCTGTCTCTCTGTGTTTTTGTTGGTCTTGATGTGGCAGGCATCCTGGGTAACAGACTCATTTGGGCCGCCATTGGGGTCAGTCCAATCCTTGGTACACTCATGTACTTTTTGCTGGCCCATCTGTCCTTTGCTTACCTATCTGCTCTTCGTTATCCTTTGCTTTTCCTCCATCATTATGCTCAAGATATTAGCCAACTTATTGGCCCATAACCACTCCATCTCCCTAGAGGGCTGCCTGACCCAAATGTACTGCTTATTTGCCCTGGATGTAACTGATAGTTATTTCCTAGTTGCTATGGCCTATGACCACTATGTGACCAAACAGTACCCCCTCCACTATGCCACACAAATATCCTGGGCCATGTCCATGGCCCTGAGGGGAACACTTTGGCTGGTATCCCATGTCCATTCTGTCGTGGACATCCTACTCATGGCCTACCTGTCCTTCTGTGCCTCCCACCAAGTGCCCCACTTCTTCTGTGACCATCAGTCACGCCTAATGCTCTCATGCTCTCGTCACATTCAACTGCTTATCTTTACTAAGGGTGTTGCAGTGGTGGTCATTCCCTTCCTGTTCATGCTGGTCCCCTACAAGACCATCACAGTTGCAGTGCTCTAGCTGCCCTCAGCCTCTAGGAGGGATGGTGTGTACACCTATGGCTCCCACTTGGCAGTGGTAAGCCTCTTCTATGGGACAGTCATTGTAGTCTACTTCCAGCCTACATCCAGATATGAGGCAGAGCATGGCTGTGTGGCTGTGGTCATGTAAAATGCTGTCACCCCCATGCTGAACCCTGTTATTTACAGTCTCCAGGATCCTGATTTGCAAGGGGTACCCTGAGCCTTTTTCACTAGGCGAAAGATATCAGCTGGTGACTCCTGAGGGTTGGATCCTACCAACCTGTTACTCTGTAGCACAGAGTAACAGCTCATAAATGTGATCCTCTGTTCTCACTGGTTTTAAAAATAGTAACAATAGCTATCATTTTCTGAGCACCAATGGTGAAACAGATCCTTGCTCAATCTACTTTATTCTCATGGTAACCAGAAAAGAGATAAATGATTCAGTTTTATGGATGAGGTGATTGAAGATCAGAGATAAGAAGTAATTTTTCTTGGGGCTGGAGAGATGGTTCAGCAGTTAAGAAGACCGACTGCTCTTGCAGAAGACCCGGGTTCGATTCCCAGCACCCACATGGCAGCTGATGGCTGTCTGTAACTCCAGTTCCAGGGAATCCAGCAGCCTCTTCTGTCCTCCGCAGGCATTGCATGACGCAGGTGCATTTACATACATGCAGGCATAACACTCACACACATAAAATAAAAATACTAAATAAAGTATTTAGAAAAGAAATAACTTTTCTTGAGTTCATGCAATTCTTAAGGAGCAAAAAAGGACCTTTTCTGCCACAACATGTCCTCTTATAACAGTCACTCCCAGCATATGGAGAGGGTTCTGCTGAGTTCTTAAAGAAACTGACTTCTCAACTTTCCAGAACAAGAGTAAAAAATCTCTTGCCAGGCATGGTGATGAACACCTTTGATCCCAGCACTTAGGCAACAGAGGCAGGCAGATCTCTGTGAGGCTGAGGCAAGCCTGGTCTACATAGTGAGTTCCTGGTAAGCTGGGGCTACAGGGAGACCCTATCTCAAAAAAGCAAAAACATGGGGCTGGAGCGATGGAGCAAGACTGACTGTTCCTGCAGAGGACCTGGGTTCAGTTACCAACACCCCATGGTGGCTAACAACCATCCATAACTCCAGTTCCAGGGGATCTGACAGCCTCTTCTGACCTCCACAGGCATTGCATGACACAAGTGCACTTACATACATGCAAGCAATATATTCATATACATAAAATAAAAATAATAAATAAAATATTTTAAAACAAAATTCCTGTACCCATGAGGGCTGAGCTCTCCTAATTATCTCAGTCCAGCACATAGGAGATAATTTGTTCATCTGAGTTGAATAAACCATGATATTCTTATGCCAACAAGAATTCAGAAGCAGTCTACTTTTATATTTGTTTTTGTATGCTGTGATGCCAACTGCTTGGTGTTCCACAGAAAGAGCATGCTTTGGGCTTATAATAAACAAAAGCAAAGCTGAAAATAAAGGAGAGATATAGGCATTAGAGGAGGTAGAAGAGGTATTTATATTTCATAATAACATGTCAGCACTTCACATATTTCTATCCATGAAAATGAGTACTTGAAATAACACTTTATGAACAAAGGAACTGAGACTCAAAGCAGGTGACCTAGGACTGGAGAAATGACTCAGCAGTTAAGAGTACATACAGCTCTTACAGAGGATCTGAGTTTGGATCCCAGCACCCATGTAGGAGGGTTTATAACAGCCTGCAACTCCAGCTCTCGGGGGATCTGATACCTCTGGCCTCCTTGGGCTCCTGCACTCACATGCACATACACACAGGCACATAACTAAAAATAATAAAAATAAATCTTTTTTTAAAAAACAGAGCTGGTGAGCTAATAAGGATCATAGCCACACAAGCCTGCATGTTACTTGAACCATTCAGGTGTGATTTAACAAGACCCCCATAGAATTCAGGTTCCAGGGTGTGTCTGTTGTGATTTGAATATGAAATATCCCCCATAGACTCAGGTGTTTGAATATTTGGCCTCTAGCTGGTGGAACCTTTAGGAAATGGAGCCTTACAAGAGGAGATGGTTCACTGGGAACAGGCCTTGAGGTTCATAGTCTGGCCCCACATCCTGATCATTTTCTGCTTCTTGATTGGGGATGCAGTGTGACCAGCTGGCCTCCTGCTCCTGCCACCATGCCTTCACTGCCTCTATGGACTATGTGCCCTTGAACTGTAAACCAAAATAAACACTTCCCTCCCTAAATTGCTTCTTGTCAGATACTTTATCAGGGAAACAAGAAAAGTAACTAAGACAGTGCCTGTATGAGAAAACTTTCAGAAGTCTTATATGAGACAACTACACTGTTCCAAGTGACGACATGTTTTGAGGTCTCCTGTAGTTGGATCTGGAATGTTACCCCAAATTTTCATGTGTTAAAGGCTTGATCCTCAGTTTGGTACAATTGTGAGACAGTGGAAAAATTTTTTAATATTTTATTGTTTTTATTTTATGTGTATGAGTGCATTGCCTGCATGTATGTGAGTGCACTCATGTCGTGCAATGCCACAGAGGTCGAAGAGGGCTTCGGATTTCCCTGGAAATAGAGTTAAGGATGGTTCATAGCTGCCATGTGGGTGCTGGGAATCGAACCCAGGTCCTCTGCAAGAGCAGTCACTGCTCTTAACCACTGAGCCATCTCTCCAGCCCCAACAGCGGAAATTTTTAAGAGGTGGGGCCTAGTGGACGAAAGTTAAGTCATCCAAGGTATGCTCTGAAGGGTACAGTGGGATCAAAAGGATCATCAGTATTCCCTTCTTCTGGACCAGCAGCCCTGCCAGGAGCATTCTGCTCAGATATCAGACAAAGGACAGGCCACATCACTGCAGGATGACTAACTCTAGCTGGCCCCACAGCCTATGCTTTAGCACAACCCAGCTTCTGCCCTTGGCCTCTAACCACTACCAGTTGTCTCTACCCCACTGCAGTCATTGCCTTCTTCAGGACAGTCATAATCAGCATCATAAGCACATTCAGGTCTCACAATGGCCCCATGTTAAGCTTTCATTGTAAATGTAGGGAAATAGGCTCAGAGAAATAAGGTTTGCCCTAAATCCCTCCACCAGCCACTTCAAGTTCCCTGGCTTCTGGTATTCTGCTCTTTCCACATCACCACTTAATTCCATTTCAAAAATATGTATTGCCCATGTGCTTTATGCCATATACTCAGCCAGATGCATGACTGACTCCCAGATTGCTATCAGAACAGGCAAGGGAAGGGATGGTTGTACTTATAAATAGCCCTAGTTTCCAGTCCTGTGCCTCCAGAGGCCACCTTCTCACCCATACCAATTCACTCTAATTTCTTACCTCAGCTAGCTCCAGAAGATGAACTGACCCATGACCAGTGGTAGATTCCTCCTCTGTTCCCAGAAATGCCACAAAGAGTTTACAAATCCACAGAAATTTTTTCCCTGGATGGATTTTTTACATGATGTATAAAGAAACTGATGTAATAGCTAAGGATGCAGTTAGGGTCAATCACCACTATCAGGAAAATTTTAAAAAGAAAGGAAAAAAAAAGACTGATGTTAATACCTTAAGTAAAAACAGAAAAATAAGTAAAATCAGCAAATAACTGACTCTCTCCAAACCCTCCCTTTAGGAAAGCTTTTACTTACTCCAAGGAGACTGCTTTGGTTGGAGGGATTTTTGTAGTCCTTTTCCCAAAGGTCTTTGAGCCACAGAAGGAAATCTACTTCTCATCCAAAATGTTCCATGATCTTTTCCTCAAATGACTGACTATTTCAGAACTGATTCAACCCATCTTCCTAGTATTGGTATTTTCAACCCTCCAGTTTATTGAGTATGATGTATAGTACTATAAACCACTTTATTCAGGGGGAGAAAACCACGTAATAGCAGTTCAAGAAATATATTTCAGAGTCTACCTTTTATAGCCTCATTTCTAACATAACTTTTATCTTTATAAAATAAAGCAGTCTTCATGTGGAAGATATAGCAATTGAAGAGCTTTTAGTAGTGAAAGGGCTCAGATCATAAATGTAAATTGATTACTCCTTCTAAGGATACAAAGAAAATTTCTATAACCTAAGTTTTCTTTCACACAAGGGCTTCCACAGAGAAAAGGCAACCATCAGAGATGAAAAAATGAAAGCATACTCTTTATGTAGAAAGGACTGCTTTATGCTCCTTGAAATAGATTGATACTCCAAACTATTAAAGCAAGCTGTTAGCTCAGTCTAATCCACTGGCACTTCTCCAACTCACCCTACTCACAGTTCTTCTATCCTGTTTCTTCCACTCCCCTTTCCCTCACCTCCATGCCGTTTTCTTGGGCTTTGGAGCTTGTATACCTATTTCCTTCCCTATATGCTTTCTTTTCTTTCTCTCTCAATAGGATACTGGGACTGTAGACAAAATTCTTTGCCTTACATATACAATAAGACTGTGGATTATATGCCCTAGAGAGATGGCTCCATGGTTAAGAGCACTGGTTGCCAGTGAAGAGGACCTGGGTTTGGTTCCCAGCATCCACATAGTGGTTAACAACTATTGTAATTCCAGTTCCAGGGGATTCGCTACCTTCTTCTGGCCTTTTCAAGCACTGCACATACATGGTGCACTTACACACATACAGACATAACACATACATAAAGTAAAAATCAATTAAAGAAGGTGAATTATATTCAGAGCCAATGGAAAGAAATGACTTCCACACACCATGTCCCTTCCCCCACTTCCTCCAGCTCTTACATTCTTGCCTGCTCTTCTGCAATGTTTCCTAAGCCATGATAGAGATGCCCGTTTATGACTGGGCATTCAATAGCCATTCGTTCTGTTACTTGATCAATTATGGGTCTCTGCAGTCACCACTGCCCACTGCAAAAAGAAGTTTCTCTGACCAAAGCTGACAGCAGCACTATTCTATGGGCATAAACATAGTCAATTTAGAAGGCAATTTGACAGGACAGGAATGATATATTTCAAGCCCTGAAAGTGACTACCAATCAAGATTACTATATCCAGCAAGTATCCCTCAGAAATCAAAGATCAATACAACAGAGATACCTCTTTACATTTTTTAACCTCTTTTTCTTTTTTTTTTTTTTTTTTTTTTTTTTTGTATGTGTGTGCCAATACATATACCCATGTGTACATGGCCGCCAGTCAAACTCACAGAGATCCACCTGTCTCTGCCTCCCGAGTG